TGCCACTGAATTAAATTCTTTCAAAAGACAAACTGTACACTACATGCAAATAAAACTGACCCCACAGGACCAGCAATGTTCGATATACAGTATTATATGCTGCCAAAAACACATTGTCAATAAAAAATCAGAGAACTTAGCACTGAAGGTGCCTCTGAACTTGTCTACTCCAATTTCCTTTTTGTGGATGAGAAAACCATTACAGAGAATGGTGGGCTGTCCAAAGTCTAATGGCTTTTTAAATGACACTATAAGTCTTTAATAATTTACAGGTTGCCAAACACCAGTAATGATGTGCAAATCAATATTTAGCTATGGTTTCTATTCACTTTAAAAGACATGCTATCGGGCCAGCTGAGTGGCGTGTTGGTTAAGAGTTGGCTTGGGATGCCAGCTCTGAGCAGCAGGGCCCCGGTTCGGATCCCACATGAGGCCCAGTGATGCTGCGCCCTCTACAGCTAAGATAGTGAACAACAGCTCAACTTGGAGCTGGGCTGCTGTAAGTCGCCGGCAATGTCATAGGCTGCAGCCACTGCTGCAGTGGGCTGCCCTAAGCAGCCGTGAGCGGCTGTCCAATGGCCGGCGGGTGACTGCCTCACCCGGGAAGAGCACAGTGATAATACCAACATGGGCCAGTGAAGCGACGTCCTCCACAACTAGGCTGAATAGCAAAAGGACAGCAACTTGTCTGTTCCCCTCCCCCAATTCCCCAATAAAACCTTAAAACAAAAAAACAAAAAAAATAAATAAAAGACATGCTATCAATCTTAACACTTGTAGCTGTTCAAGAACCTTAGAAATTTAGTCCCAAGAAGGTAGGTGCTCCTTCTGAATGCTCCCAAATATCAATACTTTACCTCTCTTGGCATCTGTGACTAGATAAATTATTTGCATATCACTAAGCCCCACTAGACTGTATAACCCATGAGAAGAGGCTGTGTTATACCACTGTATACATGCCTGGTGGACTACAGGAACCTAATATTTTTTAAATAATGAATTAATGTAACTAACCAAATGAAATCAACTGATCAAAATCACACCACTGGTGAAGCCAGGATTAAAGGCCAACCTTTTAACACATGACAGGGAAATTATTAACAAACATTAACTTACTCCACATTTTAACTTTCACTAAATAAAAACCAATTGAATAAATATGAGAACACTGTTGTCAAGGAGGGTAACAGTGATAGGTTGAGAAAAAGATCTACAAATCAGAGTGATAAAGAAGTTAGCAGAGGGCTGGCCAAGTGGCTCATTGGTTAAGGGCTAGCTTGGGATGCCAGAGGGGCCCGATTCGGATTCCACATATGAGGGCCAGTAACACTGCCCTCTACAGCTGGGATGCTGAACAACAGCTCAACCTGGAGCTGGGATGCCATGAGTCGCCGGCGACAGCGTAGGCTGCAGTCCCCTGCTGCAGTTGGTTGCCATGAGCTACCGTGTGTAGCCAGCAGCCAGCGTGAGCGGCCAGCAGCCACTATGAGCGGCTGTCCAGAGGCTGGCGACTGATCTGCCTCGCCAGGAAGAGCACAATGATGGTAACAGCTTGGGCCAGTGAAGCAACATCCTCCACTAGACTGAGGAACAAAAGGACAGCAACTTGTCTGTTCCTCTTCCCCCGATTCGCCAGCACTGTTCCCCTCCCCCAATTCCCCAATAAAATCTTTAAAAAACAAACAAACAAAAAAAGAAGTTAGCAGAGTACCCTGATTAATGAAGGGAACAAGAATAAACATTACATTATCAGAGGTGGGAAGCAAAGGGCACAGGGGTAGAAAGGAGAGCACAGCAAATGGTTCAAGCTGGTAATTCTTAGAGTATCCTTCAAATTCTTGGTTAGTATTAATGTCAAAGGAATATGAAGGGGATCACATCCAAGATAATGGGGAAAACAAAACTGAAAGAGCTTAAGGAAGCTTAAAGGATCCACTCAACAGAAAACAAAAGAGTTGGTCACAAGAAAAAGAGGTGACCACAAGCTGATAGAAACAGACATAGTGAGATTATAGCTAAATGAGATTCACCACAAAAACGATGGGACAGTAGTCACAAACAGAGAGGGAGGGGCCACTTTTGACTGCAGTTTATTTTCTAAACCAATAAATATATTCAGCACCCCTTACCACTGAACTTGGGGAATCATATCATTTAGCTTTACAATATCATTAAAATGTGTTACCCTAGTTTAAAATGTTACTAATATATCAAGTTGTCTACCATCACCATAGATAATTTTTATTCTTATACAGGGACACAACCACAAAATAAATTACCACTGTAAATCTTCAGTCAAGGGTTTAAGACAATTTTGATCTCAAGGTGCAATCAAAAGACTAGGAAGTTTAAAAAAAAAAAGACTAGGAAGTTTTAGTTATCTGTAGGTACTGTCTCTAGCTAATAGAAAAGAATAGAGGTGGACTTATAATTCTATTTATACAAAATGAAGGTCAAATAAGATGACAAAGATGTTTTCGTAGTAGTCTGGCAAGAGAAAAATGATAAAATCTGAGGTCCAACAGCACACCATAGTATAAATATGGTAAAAAAAAAAAAAGCCAAGAAGAGGAAACACCAATATTTATATTTCAAGGAGAGATTAATTAAATAAGACATCCTCAATATTAAATTATTTTACATTTTAATTACTGTAAACTCAGGACTTTATTAGGTAAGAATACCCTATTAAGAATTTAAACAGCATGGCAACCTCTTCATATCCAATTATTTTTTTCTTTTATCATGTACTCACTCCATGAGTTCCCAAAACTCCCTTATTAACAAAATGATGGTTGTGACTTGTCATTTATTTTGAGTACCATCAAATACCTGTATTACCTTTCTCTTCAGAAAATGCTTATGGTGTTTTACTTTCAATGCTCCACGATACTTTTTAAATAGCCAATATTTTCAGTATGAACTGTAAGATTTACATCTACTCTTTATAACGTCTATAAGGCATATTAATTTTAGCATAAAATATATTCTATTTCTATGCATTTCCTGCTTTTTAGTAAACACAGTACTGGGTGGGAATTTACTGCTAATGTTCCAATCAATTCTGTAATACACTACATCCATTCCTTTTTATGTTTCTATTTTATATACAAAATATATACACTTTCCAAAATCTTTAGAGTTTGAGTCTTTTTGTGAAAATAACCAAAAGTTAATCAAGTTGGTACTGGGAAATTATATAGATACTTATCAGAAAAGTAAAATCAGTGCCTTTCAGATCCTTACAAGCAATAAATGATACTATGATTCTACACATATATGTCAAAAAATATACTTATAAAAGGAAATCTGAAAAAAATTCCTTAAATACCTCCCAAAGTCCAATTATTCATACTAGTTTATCGATAGTACTTATAGTTAAAATGTATGTAAGAACACAGCCATATGCTCATTACAAGAGTTAACACAGTTTTGACCAAAGTCTATACTTTCATGATGCACTGACCAGAACCACCCAAAGCCATACACCAAATCTAAAGGAAATGCATTAATATTTTCCAGCTGTGCCCTCTAAATTTTCAAAACAATATGAATTTCATATGTATTCATCAATAACAATATATATTTAGTGGGAAACACGTAAATCAGTGAACTGATATTAAGTAATCCACTCTAATAAATTATATGGGAGTCAAACTAATTCACTCTCCAATCATTTATCCAAATCTGAAGTGTGATAAATTCTTTCAAAAGGATAATTTAAAATTATAAATTTGTATTTTACACCCCAAAGACTTAAATATCATTGACTAGCCTTATACAAATGTTCCAAAATTCTAAAAACTCCATAACAAATGCCATTACTTAATACTAGAAAAAAAATTTAAATTAGCAATTCTGAAAATTAGTAAGTAATTAAAACCATTAAAGCATAATACTGACCTAACGGGACAAGAATTTTATTTTTATAATCTTTATTAAGATCATCCCTTAGGGTCTCACCTGCTACCCTTTTAAACAAATTTCAAAGGCAATTTTACAGTTCATTTAAGTTAATACCACACATCCTACAACCTTAGCCACTTTACAAAACAAAGGAAAAATAGCTTCAAAACTGCTGTCTTAGAAATGTTACAATTAAGAGTGCCTCTATAGGGGCCGGCAGAATGGCGCGATGGTTAAGAACTGGCTTGGGACGCCAGAGAGCCCCGGTTCGGATCCCACATATGAGGGCCAGTGACACTGCCCTCTTCAGCTAAGATGCTGAACAACAGCTCAACCTGGATCTGGGCTGCTGTGAGTCGCCGGCGACAGCGTAGGCTACAGCCCCTGTGGCAGTGGGTTGCCATGGGCTACCGTATGTAGCCAGCAGCCAGCGTGAGCGGCCAGCAGCTGCAGTGAGCGGCAGTCCAGAAGCTGGCGACTGATCTGCCTCGCCCGGGAAGAGCGCAATGATGGTGCCAAGTTGGGCCAGTGAAGCAACGTCCTCCACAACTAGACTGAAGAACAAATCGACAGCAATTTGTCTGTTCCCCTCCCCCCAATTCCCCAGCACTGTTCCCTTCCCCCCAATACCCCAATAAAAATCTTTAAAAAAAAAGAGTGGCTCTATATTAACTCCTCGTATAATCAACTGGTGTATCTTAGACTGCCATGTATTATCTTGACTGTGACATGCAAAATGGATCCTGCTTTGGAAATTGGCTAATTGGCATGCAGCTTTCAGCAGAGACCCACAGTCCCAAAAACTAAAGAGGGGAAATAATTTATTTCCCCTCTTTATCGAAAAATGTTGTTCAATAAGGTCAACTCGAACAACATTTTTGGGTGGAAAAAAAACCTTCAACAATAGTGAATATGGGGAAAGACAAAAAGTGATCAAGGTATCCAGATACTCAGACAACTAATACATACACAATTTAACAGCATTCAAATGGTTAATAGCTCCCTTGTATGACAAGTCACGTATTCCATGTGGAAAAGAAGTTATTAAAGAGACTGATTCAGACCATCAGTAATGATCAGACTCATATATGACATCAGTGGAATTCAATTTAATGTCCTTCAACCATTTAAAAATTTTAAGAATGTATTCCAAGGTAACAGTTCATTTCAAACTTATTTTAACTTACACATGCACTAATTTGTATCTATATATTCTGTGTCAATTTAAAGCATTTTAAACATCTTTGATAATTAAAACAGAATAGCCATGTTGAAATTAAAAGTTTAGACAAATTAACACTGACCAAGAAAAGATAGCTCAAAGGTTTAAATATGAATGAACTTGATAAAAACATGTCAGGGCATGTTTGAGAAATTTGTCCTTGTCACCTAAACATCTTTCTTTTTTTTTCAGTGAATTCCCTAAGAAAAGAGTATTTTCAGCAAAATCGTATATCCAGTGGTTTGAAATGAAAAACAGTGACCAAACACCTCACATCACTTTGGTAAAAGAAGAACATAAACTATCAGTTCAGAATTACATATATGCCAAAATGGAAGTTAAGTGGAATGGATAAAATTAATCCCAGTTAGTATTAACAGCAGTGGTAGAAGAAATATCACAGAAAAATTAAGAAAAAAAGATGCTATGAAGAAAAAATAGAATGTATATTTGGATAATTTACAATTATAATTCTATAAAAATTGTTAGAATTCCAACATCTTTTTAATATAATATTCCTGGTGAAATCAAAGTCAAACTATAATACCTGGAAAACTTCCTTCTCCAAAGAAGAAATTGAACTAATCAGGTAATTTGTTCTCTGAAATACTCTTCAAATTCCAATTACAAGAAGTATACAAAGTAGGACAAATGATAAAAGGTGTGTATGGATGAAAAGCTACAATAATTCCAATTTTTGATACCTTAGCAAGGTACTGTACATATACCACATCAATATAATGGCACAGATTCTGAGGACACGATCCACATTTTATTTACATTTTAAGACTAACTTTAATCTCAAAATCACATATCCATACACATCTATTTCCTTTTTGTTGATTTCACTTAAACTTAAATGCGTGGTTTGTCAAAGACTGTAAACAAATATTTACCATGTCTATTACATGTAACACACAGGAACAGCTCTTTAACAGAAATTCACCTTCCCCCACGACATTTTTTATTATAAATACAGGTATCAAAACAATTCTGGACATATTTTTGATACTACTAGTAGTCAGCACCCACACCGCTTCAAAAATTAAAACAATTTGTGACAATATTCATTGTACCTGCTACTTTAGACAATTTAAAATGAAAAGTCTTTCCCTAAGAGAGATACATAAAGCATGCCATTTCTTTCTCCTCCTTGAGACTTTTACTTTTTAGAAACACACATGCTTCCACAGCTATCTGACACTTCTCACCATATTTTCATCATGTAAGCCTTAATTCTATTTTGAATATGCCAGGTTTATGTTTAAATGACAGTGCCTTAAAAAAAATTGTGCTGCATTTTTCCTCCTGTTACCTGAAAACATAATAGGTGTACATATATTAAATATATTCTTACAAATGTCCAAGTCATGTTTACCAGCTGAAATTCTTTTACTTAATGTGTGGGTATTTTGCATTGTGATATTTAATCAAGACATTAACATGAATAGAAGATTGTTGATTTAAGACAAGTTTGAGATCCAAAAATTAATTGTATGTTTGTCCTTCTGGTGGCTGTGGAAGCTTCATATTTTCTTTGGACATCATTAGACGTCTTAGCTCTTGGAGTACAACTTTAATGCTATATGAATTTTGCCATTTTGTTAACACTGGTATGCTCCGTGCATCCACCTGAAAGGAGGGAAAAAGCAAAATTAACTACCAAGCTTAAAGTATTATGGCACCAATTTATTAAACATACTTTAATAAGCCCTTTTAAAAATTCATTGCCTGACTCTATTTTCACAAAAGTTAACATTATGACTGCAGGTTCATATAATATTTAGAAAAAAAATTCCTTCTTTAACAAGTGTTTCCTAATAATTTGTGTCTTGTCTGCATGTGTGCTTTTCTATATTTTACAAATAAACATGTAGTGAACTTGGGTCACCAGAAATAAAAAACATTATATTAAATTAAACTACAATGTAACTATATTTGCCAATTCCTTCTTGATGAAATAAGGTTGGAAGGTTCCTCTCCATTTACTACCAAAAATCTGTGCAGTTATCTCCACTGGAATTTAGGAAAGAACTGTGAACCTGATCTCTGCTTTGAGATTTTTCTTTCCAATGCATTCTATGCACCATACTAAGTTAATCTTCTGTGGAAGACTGAGAGAATAGGGTTGGAGCTCGTTCAAAGCCTCATTCCAAGGTAATTGCCATCACTTGACCTATCTGGCAGTTCCTTGGAAAACGCTATTCACGAGGCTTTTCTTTATCTAACCTCAGAACTCACCCACTGGGTACTGCCTACGCCCCACCCATAACTGCCACCCCCACCCCTGGCATTTATATCCGTGTCAATTGTTTAAACATCTCTGCTGCCTAGGGAGGCAATAACAGGGTAAATAGGAAGGAGGCCAAAATACTTCTGAGGACATCTACAGACATCCACAGGGACTATGAAAAGTTCTAAAACATACAGGCCTGTGAATCTAGGAGACCACACATGTACAGGGCTAAGCACAGGCTCATGAAAGACCTGAGAAGCCCATAAACTCTCACCTATGGTTGACCTTGAGCAACATACAAAAAAGATTATGCACCATAACCAAGTGGGATTTATTGTAGAAATGCAAGGTTGGTTGACTATTTTAAGTCAACCAAGGTAATACACCATATTAATAAAATTGAGAACAAAAGCCATGATTATCTCAACAGAAAAAATCCAACAACCTTTCATGATAAAAACACTCAAAATAGGAACAGGAGGGTACTGCCTCAACCTAATAAAGGGCATCTATCTAAAAAAAATATGTAGCTAACCTCATACTTAATGGTGAAAGACTAAATACTTTCTTCCTGATCAGGAACAAGGCAAGGATTACCACTCTCACCACTGCTATTCAAGATTGTAGTAGAGGTTCTGAACAGGCAATAAGGCAAGAAAACAAAATAAAGGCATCCAGATTAAAAAAATAAAAAAGGAAGTTAAACTATTGCTATTTGCAGTTGACATGGGCTTTATACTGAAAATACTAAGGTATCCACTAAAGAAACTATTGGAGCTAAGAAACAAGTACAGCAAGGCTGCAGGATACAGGGTCCACATACAAAAACCAGTTGTATGTCTGTACACTTGCAAAGAACAATCTGAAAATAAAAGTAAAACAATGCTAGCTACAATAGGATAAAAGAAAAAACTATACAGGTATAAATTTTTATAAGTATAAGACTTATACACTGAAAATTATTTAAAAACTGTTCACAGAAATTAAAGGCCTAAATAAGTGCAAAGATCCCATGTAGACAGATGGCTTAATATTGTCAGATGACAATATTCCTCAAATTGATCTACAGATTCAATACAACCCCTATGAAAACTTCAAATGCCTTTTTTTTTTTTTTTTAAGAAATGGACAAGCTGATCCTAAAATTCCTATGAAAATGCAAGGAACCCAGAATAGCCAAAACAATGTGAAAAAGAAGAACCAAATTCTTCCAATTTCAAAACTTGTAGCAAACCTACAATAATCAAGGTTTTGCTTGCATAATGATGGACATACCTATCCATGGAATACAATTGAAAGCCCAAAAATAAATCCATGCATCGTGCACAAGAATACACAATAAGGAAAGTATCTTCAATTAAGTGTTGGGACAACCAGATATCCATATGCAAAGGAAGTTGGACCCTTAACTCTCACCATACACAAAATTAACTCAGAAAGGATCACAGACCTAATCTAAATTAAGAGTGAAAGCTATAGAATTCTTAGAAGAAAACAGGAGTAAATCCTCCTGACATTGGATTTGGTAATGGTTTCTTAGATATAATACCTAAAGTATATTCAACAACAAAAAAATAAAATGGCTACATCAAAAATAAAAATTTTTGCATTGCAAATCTTACTATCAAGAAACCAGAGACAACCCACGGAATGGAAAAAATACTTGCAAATCACGTAGTAGATAAGGAGCTCTTGTTCAGTATATAAAGAACTTTTATAACTCAATAATAAAAGGCCAAATATCTCAATTAAAATGAATGTGGGCAAAGGACCCTGGTAGGCAGCTGCTATGGACTACATGTTTGTGTTCCCCCAAAAACTCTTAGGTTAAAACCCTAACCCCGACAGGGATACTGTTAGGAACTGAGGTCTTTGGGAAGTAATTAGATTTAGATAAGGTCATAAAGGTGGAGCCCCCAAAATGGGACTGGTGTCCTTTTGAGAGGAGCAAGACGAGAGCTTGCTCTCACCTCCACATGAGGACAAGAAGTTCTTCATCAACAATCAAGGATGAGGGTTGGCCGAGTGGCTCAGTTGGTTAAGAGTTAGCTTAAGAGAGCGAGCTCTGAGCAACAGGGCCGCCGGTTCAATTCCCACATGGGCCAGTGATGCTGCACCCTAGCTGAGCTGCCACTGAGCTGCCAACAGGTGGCAGGATGGCTCAGCTCATGAGAGCATATGCTCCTAACAGCAGGACTGCCTGTTCGATGGTGGGCTATGCCCGCCTGCAACTAAGACTGAACTCGCAACTTGAGCTGAGCTGCCACCCAGATGACTCAGTGGATAGAGCATGCACTCTTAACAACAAGGCTGCCGGTTCAACTCCTGCATAGGATGGTGGCTATGCCCACCCACAACTAAGACTGAACTTGGCACCTTGAGCTGAGCTGCCATTCGAATGGCTCAGTGGATAGAGCGAGTGCTCTTAACAACAAGGTTGCTGGGTTCGACTCCTGCATGGGATGGTGGCTACGCCCACCCGCAATTAAGACTGAACACAGCACCTTGAGTTTAGAGGCCACGAGCTGCCAACGGGAAGCCAGATGGCGACTGGCGCCCTCCACAACAAAGACTGAAGAACAACAACTTGGCTGGTCCCCTTCCCCAATTCCCCAACACTGCTCCTCTCCCCCAATTCCCCAATTTAAAAATAAAAATACAGTAAAAGATAAGAATTCTCACCAAAACCCAACCATGCTAGCTAGCAGCCTGAACTTGAACTTCCCAGCCTCCAGAACTGTAAGAAATAAATTTCTGTTGTTTAAACCACTCAGTGCATGTATTTTTGTCATAGCTGCCCAAACTAAGATAGAAGTTTTCAAAATGGTTCCCAAAGATCTCCAATTCTTGATATTCACGACCTATGTAATCCCTCCCTTTGAGTAAGGGCTAGAGAAGGGCTTGCTTCTAATGTCTATTGAGATGTCATTTCTGATAAGTTACAAAAACATTCTGGCTTGTATCTTGCTCTTTCTTGCTTTTACTCCTTGCTTCACAGAAGGAATTCAGCTGCCATGTTGTGAACTGCCCTAAAGAGAGGCTTACACAGCAAGGAACTGAGGGTGGTCTCTATGCAACAGTATGCAAGAAACTGAGGCCCTTAGCCCCAAAACCCAAGAACTGAATCCTGCCAACAACCAAAAGATTGAGGTTAGAATTAGATCCTTCCTTAGTCAAGCATTCAGATGAGACCACAACACAGGCTGACATTTTGATTGCAGCCTTATGAGAGACCCAGAGCCATAGGACCCAGCAAAGCTGTACCTACATTCGTGACCCACGGAAACTGTGAGATAATAAATCCTTGTTGTGTTAAACTGCTTTTAAAAATTACACAAAGAATCTGAATAGACATTACTCCAAAGAAGATATACAAATGACCAATAAGCATTTGAAAATGTGCTCAACATTAGCCTAATCAGGGAGTTGCAAATATAAACCACAATGAAATACCACTTCACACTCACGGGGATGGCTATCATAAAAAAGACACAGATGGTAACAAGTGTTGACAAGAATGTGGAAAAGCTGGAGCCCTTTTGTAATGCTGGGAGGAATGTAAAATGGTATGTCTACTTTGAAAAATAGTCTGGCAGTTCCTAAAAATGTTAAACATTGAATTACCATATAACCCAGCAATCCTACTCCTAGGTATATATTCAAGAGAAATAAAAAATATTTGCTCACATAAAAACTTGTACACAAATGTTCAGAGCAGCGTTAGTCATAAGCTAAAGGTGGAAAAACCCAAATATCCACCAGGTGATGAATGAATAAACAAAATGTGATATATCTATAATGGAATAGTATTCAGCAATAAAAGGAAATAAAATATTGATATATGCTAAAACGTAGATGAACCTTGAAAATATGATGCTAAGTGAAAGAAGCCAGTAACAAAACAATACATATGTATAATTCCATTTACACAAAAAGTCCAGAATAGGCAAATCGATACAGACGGAAAGTAAATTAGTGGTGATTTAGGGCGGGGAAACTGGAATAGAAAGCGACAACTAATGGGTAAGGGGTCTGCTCTCAGAGAAACAACAATGCTCTAAAATTGGATTGTAGTAATGGGTCCACAACCCTGTGAATACTAAAAAACATTGAATTATACACTTTAAATGAGTGAGTTATATGGTATGTGAATTATACCGCAATAAAACTATTTAAAAATAGAAAAGAACAATAAATTTTATAAGTCTCTTACAAGTAACTGAATCAATAAGAATGTTAAGATGTATTTTAAAATGCTTCCTCCAATGCTTTAACTTAGATGAGTAGCAACCCCATTATCCTATTTTAAATAGACTCCATAACTGAACAAGTTTATAAAATAAGTTGAGAGAATACCAAGTTTTTTCCAAAGCAAAAGAAAACACTTCCAGCTGTA